GTTGGGCTGAGCGCCCTGGCATCTTTGGTAGAGTTAAAGTCTGAGTAAATGATGTAGTAGCGGAAGCGTTTTGAATAAAGTCCTTGAACCACCTTGCGCTAGTATGTGAGGGCAAAGTAAGTTGATTAAAGCAAATAGATACAAGAATATATATTTGAGTACGGAGAATACGAAGAGACATAATTGTAACTACTTTACTGTTGCGGTTCGATACAGTGTGACTCGGGCAATTGCTCAATGTCGAGTCAGTTGTGTGTCCTTGCTGTCGCGCTGCATTTGTCAGGTCAAAGGTCGCTAACCTTTGACTTTCGCGTAACCTCCAGCGGTTACATCAACCTCCGAGGGTTGACTCGCTGGTGCTTCGATTTGCGCTGCTTTGCTTGTGTCTTGAAGTTTCGACACGACAGAGGCGCTCAAGGCTATTTGTTCCCAACAGTTACTACATAAAATATGCTCTTTAGGATTGCTTTGCATAATTGTGTACAATATCCAGGAGTTAGTTACGGTACGTTTAGTTTAGGACATGCATGGGTTGATTAGGGACTCCATAACCTATCCTAAAACATATTCAAAGCTTTGAACGAATGTTACCCTTTTGCATGTCATTCTCCAAATCATTGGATCCATCGCCCCGTTTCACTGCACTGTGCTTTGCCTGCTGAGCAAGGCAGGGTGGAAGTTTGGTACCTGTTTGTCCTTTAGCCAGGATTCTTGTCAATAATGGTTTTAGTCAATAGAGACGAGTGGAGAGATGAATGGATACACACTACAGACTGTAAAGATGTGAGGAACACAAGCAGCACCAGAAACATGGCCTGCCTTGTAATGCGCTTGGGGCTGCTCCTGATACCTTGCAGCACTGTCTCGTCATAAGGTTCTTCAAAACACCAGTAATCCTCGGCCTCACTATAAGGTGTCTTCAGTCGCTGGAAGCTCTCTGCCTTTTCATAAGGTGCCGCAAAACACTAGTAGCTCTCCTCTGCCTCAATATCTGGCAGCGAGAGGGTGTTGTTGAGGGCGTTGGGTGTGAGCTGGGAGGGGGTAGGGAGAGGGGCGAGGGAGTGGGAGAAAGGGCAGAGAAGGGGGCAGAGAAGATAAAGCATGTTGGACAGCAGTGGAATAATTGGGAGGGGAACGGAATGGGTGGGTGAGGGGAAAGACTGGGAGGGCGAAATAACAGAAATGAAGGACAGAACTGAGTGTTACTTGTAAATGTTCTGAATAAGGGTGATAATAGTGGGGTGGAAGTCAAAAGGTCAGGGAAAGGGAGGAGAAGTAGGGGGAGGAGGGGGTTGAGGGAGGAGGGAGGAGGGGTTTGACGGAAGAGAGAGAAAGTGTATACGACGGTGAGACACAAGGAGCACGACTGCTGCCCATTCATCACAAGTGACCATTCCTGCTCCACCTCCTCATCTTGCTTCTTCTATCTGCTCGACCTCACACAGTACTTTCGTTTCATCTCACCATACTCGTGTCATCTCACCGTGCTCGTTTCATCTCACCGTGGTCATCTCATCATCCAGTGGGCCCCCACGGTACGACACTGTGAACACATCCTTCGCCACCACGCCCTGCACACGAATGCAAGATGGGAAATGGGTGATTAATGGATGAAATCTATAGCGTGGTACAAGCCGGTGAACACATCCTTAGCCACCATTCCCTGCACGTGAATGGGGTATAGGGGTTGAGAGATGGGTGATGGGAGATGGAAGATGGCGATGGGAGATGGGTGATGGGAGATGGTGATTACTGTGAATCACCATCTCGCATGGTAAACACATGCTGCACTCACAGAGCACAGAACCTTTGCCAGCACACATTGCAGCACAATGAGCGAGCATGCACAAACACCGACAGCACTGCACACTCGCCTCATGAGTCAGAACCCATCTGATCTGAGCCAGCGTCACATGCACGCACCTCGGTGACGATCTCTGCTGACGTCACACCCACCTCGGTGTCGATCTCTGCTGACATCACACTAACGAACATCCCTGTCAGCACATCAACAATCACCATCAGCAGCCCCGGCCGGTCCGCCACCTCCACACGCTCAGCTCGCTGCCGTGCTGTCCGGGAGGGGCGTGTTGATTGAAATGCCGGGCCGTGGGGAGTGGGAGCACCCAGGAAGGGAGAGGGTGCAATCATGCTAGCATCAATCGCCGGTCTGCCGCCTCCACCTTCAGCTCGTTGCTGCTGCTGTCCGGGAGGGGCATGAGTGCCATGCGCGTTTTAATACCAGGCTGTGGTGAATGGGATGGGATGGAAATTGAGGAGAAGACAGACGCGAGAGCATTGAGGAGGTTGAAGAAGGAGCATGGCGCATCATACACACAAGTACACCATGACCCCCCAGTGGTGCACACACAAGGCACCAGCCACCACCCACCACCCAGACCAAGCACCCACCACCCAGACCAAGCACCCACCACCCAGCACCAAGCACCCAGCACCCAGCACCAAGCACCCAGCACCCAGCACCCAGCACCTATCCCTGCCACTCTCCCCTCACTCACCTTGCAGAGTGGCGAGTCGCATGTGAGGCCCATGGCCAGCTACATGCCTGAATCTGCCCACCATTGGCTACCCTCCCACCGTTCCCCAACCTCCCACCACTCCCCATCACCGCCCTCCCCAGTTTTCCCCCACGTCCTCCCCTCACCCGCAGTGCAGGGCGGCGAGTCGCATGTGAGGCCCATGGCTAGCTGTGTGCCTGACTCCTGGGAGGGGAAAGGGTAGCGGGAAGGGTGAAGGCGAAGGGACGGAGAGAGGGGTGCTGATTGGTGGGTTTCGGTGCAAGGAAGCGAGTCGCATGTGAGGCGCATGTGAGGCGCATGTGAAGCGCATGTGAAGCCCATGATAGGGAAGCAGGCAACGGGAAGGGAGAAGGGGGAGGAGGAAAGGGAAAGGGGAAGGGGGAGGAGGAATGGTGAGTGGAAAGGGAAGGGGAAAAAGGGGAGGGGGAAAGGGGGATGAAAGTGATCGCTTGGTGCTTGTTGCTTGATGATTGCATGGGTGGCCGGGGGGCATTGAATTCAGCCGGTTTTGTTCAGAGTGACAGCGTGCGTAGGAACACAATATCCAAGGAGCAGGCAATCCAATCCACCCACCGCGTGGCATGCAAACTAACATACTGATTGTAGGCAAGTAAGCAGTGCACTCACAGGGTGGCATGCGCGCAGAGCTGGGTGACGTCGCTGCTGCCAGGGCTTAGGTCGCCAGGCGAATATTCATTATTGGTGACGTCACCCAAGGCGTAGCTGCAAGTCCTGCATTTAACCAAAACATCGCTAACTTCTCAAAAATGCGATGCATCCCACAGGGATTTTTAGTGTGTGGATGCTTTGAAACTCGGTGCGACGCGCCTTGCGAAGACGTTCTGACCTGATATCCTAGACTGCTCCCTATCATCGTCTATTTCGTGCACCCATACCTCTGCCAGGCCTCGATTTCACTTGTCCCCACGCAGCTGGGGTCATTCGCTATAACGTTCGCATTATCGGATTCTTTCAAACTGGGGGTCAAATCCAATGTTTTTATTATGAGCCATAAAACAGCTATTCTCATATGCGCAAATATTGATTATTTGCCTCCCCCAGTGCAGCATCTTGGCCGGTTCCACCACCACCCAACCTGTTCACCGTGCGGAGCCCCCAGGTTTGGTGCTACTGTTGACGTCTCATTGTGCGGTTACCCCAACATCCGCCACTGCCCTGTTGTGCTTTTGCGAAACCAGACTGGCCTGCGCTGCTGTCAGTCACGGGATGAATTCCCGAGGTACCATTTCCAATTTTGAGCTGCGTCGATATTTCAGTAAGTGAGGCTCAAACTCCCACTTTGTTTTCGTGTATCCTTCGATCTGCAGCTTTGTTCAACCAGTGAAATTATATTCCAAGCACAACAGCTGGAAATTGTAGACGCAAGACGAACCGAACCGTCTTTGCGCTTACCAGGACACGTCCCAGGTTTGGTCCGATCTCCTTCCTCCCAGGGCGGCGCAGATTCCCATCTCACAGACAACGCGCTTCCACTTTTCGCCGTTTTCCCGCCAATCCATCAACCCCGTAGCCCCTCCTCAAGCACTGTTCAAACGGTCACCGAACAGGCTTGTTCGCTTCACTTCACACGCACCACAGCACAGCGAAGATTGGAGCAGTCACATTCGTCCAGACGTTTCCTTTTCAAGTCCAAGTCAGCGCAGATCTATGCATTTGCGGGTAGGGTGAGCTCCATAAACCCTGCTTCCAGGGTCCAACACGGCACAGCGCCTCCAACACAACGAAGCCTGCTCGAGTAGGTTGGGGCCTAAAACCGGCCCCTTTCCAACGCGCCATTGTCTGTGGCTGTGCGCAGGTGGAACAGACCGCGCGGGAAGCTAGTTGCGGCATTGCGAGGAAGTTACGCTGGCTTGAGTGTGCTCGTGGTGCTCGTCGTGGCGTTTGCTGGTCAGGCCTTCAGAGACTTTCGGAAAGTAAAGGATGGCTTATTTGTATCAGCCGACAGCCAGTGTTCAGGTAGTAACGAGTAGGTACCAGATTAGTTCTATTCTAGCCGCCAGCGCGCAAGTCGCCGTTTCTCGTCCCAATCAGTCTGTTTATAGTAGCAGCCGGTCGAGTCGCGATCACATCCCGTGCTCAGTCAATAACTGTCACTCCGTGCGAAACAAAAGCCTTGGAGGTATCAACAACACTTTTGCGCGAATTCCCACGTTCGCCATGGCTCCTGGTATCAATATTGCCACTTGCGCTCCGAGAGTACGAGCAGAGTGCCTAGATCGGAACGTACGGTCCAGATCTCACGGCCTGCCTAGCATCTCCCAGCCGGTTCCTGCCAAATCCAGCCAATCGTTATCCCTGAAGAACGCCGCCGCTCGGGCACAGTCCCCCATTCCCGCTCTTTCCTCGCGACGCCTCGATCAGGACCAATCAGACGCCGCTACGTTGTCATCCGTCCGAGCCGCGTCGGCGCTGCAATCACTCGACGCGCCGCTCGCCGAGATGCCAGATGCGCTGCCGCCAGAAGTGCCGTACACTGTAGTTATGAAATTCGGCGGCTCGTCGGTGGCGAACGCGGCGCGCATGAGGGAGGTGGCAGATCTGATACTGTCATTCCCAGAGGAGAATCCGATCATCGTCATGTCCGCCATGGGGAAAACGACAAACAACCTGATCAAGGTGCGGCATGCTCTGCTGACCGTGTCTCGGCCAATAGCGCGAATGCTGGCCGCTTCATGCGATTTCAGAATCCGAAAACGTGCTACGAGGACGTCTAGTCAGACTTTTGAGAGCCGGTTTCCGGCATAAGGAGACTGACGGCCGTCTAACGGAGTGGTCTTCGTAGCCGGTCTTTGTATTGTTGCCCCTGTGCCCGATCTAGGAGAATTGTACGTTTGCAGGCCAGTCACTTCGTCGATCATCGTTCCTCCAAGGACCGACATAACAACAAACGTACCTTTCTCTTTCGACTCGTCATACCTTGTTTCTTCTCCACTGAGTCTAGCTGACAGCGACGGCGAATTCACAATTCTCGCTATCTACATTGCATCCCACTGGCAGGTGGGCGAGAGGGCGCTGACGTGCGGGTCCGCCAAGTGCGCGGCGATCGACGAGCTGCGAGTAATCAGAGAGCTCCACGTGTCCACCATGGAGGAGCTCGGCGTCGATTGCGCTGAGGTGCATGGTGAGCGGTGTGGGTGAAGCGATTGGGTGAGTTATGAGGGAGATTTGGGTGCCCAAGCGATTCTTTTCATGTGCGCGTGCGACCTAGCCCCTGAATTCATGGGCGAGTGCAGCTCAGTGACCCTTGAGGGTTAAACCCTGTAAAACCCTTCGGACTGTGTTGAACTCTTCCGCTGCGCTCTGTGTTGTGCGCAAGCTGCTTTCTGAATCCTCTAGCGCTGCTTATGTCAACCGTCCACTCAGCTCCTCTCGTCTGCTCTTGATTTCCAAATCTAATCTGGTTCCTCACTCACCTCTTCCCCTTGCTTCAATCCTCTCCCTTGCCCCTCTGACCAGAACTGATGCACGAGCTGCAGCAGCTAGTAACGGGGATAGCGCTCATGCGCGAGCTGACTCCGCGCTCCTCGGATTACCTCGTGTCGTTCGGCGAGCGCTGCTCCACGCGCATCTTCGCCGCCTACCTCAACTCCTTGGGTGTGCCGTCCAAGCAGGTACGGTGCCGTCCAAGCAGGTACGGTGTTGTTCAAGAAGGTATGGTGCGGACCAAGCCCTCCCTCCCTCCCTCCCTCCCTCCCTCCCTCCCTCCCTCCCTCCCTCCCTCTCCCTCCCTCCCTCCCTCCCTCCCTCCCTCCCTCCCTCCCTCCCTCCCTCCCTCCCTCCCTCCCTCCCTCCCTCCTTCCCTCCTTCCCTCCCTCCCTCGCTTCCTCCCTCCCTCCCTCCCTCCCGCCCTCCCTCTCTCCCTCCCTCCCTCCCTCCCTCCCTCCCTCCCTCCCTCCCTCCCTCCCTCCTTCCCTCCTTCCCTCCCTCCCTCGCTTCCTCCCTCCCTCCCTCCCTCCCTCCCTCCCTCCCTCCCTCCCTCCCTCCCTCCCTCCCTCCCTCCCTCACTCCCTCCTTCGTTTGACGCCTCCCCATGTGCCTTCCCTTTCTCCCTCCCTCACCTCCCTCCCTCCACCCACCCCCGTCCCTTTTACTCCCCTTTCCCCCCCACACCAGATTGACGCGTGTCAAATGAGTGATCAGCACGGGCGAGTTCATCAACGCAGACGTGCCCCGCTGTTATTGACCCCGCCTGTGCCGTCAAATCCACCATCCCTCCACTCCCCTCTCCCCCTCCCTCCCACCTTCTCCCCCCTTTCTCCCCCCCATTCCCCCCTTCGACGCATTTCATATGGGCGTCATCACCACGCACGTGCGGACGAGGCTTGTCCCACTGCTCTCTCTCGCCCCATATGCCCTCCCGTACTACCTTCAAACACACCACCACCCCTTGCCACCCCCTTCCGCACTCTCCAGTTCGACGCGTTTCAGATGGGCGTGATAACCACGGACGAGTTCACCAACGCGGACGTGCTGGACGAGACCTACCCCGCCTGTGCTGTCTAATCCACCCTCCCTCCACTCCCCTTATCCCCCCCCCACACAACCCCCCGTCCCTGCACCCCATGCCCCAGTTCGACGCATTCCACATGGGCGTGATCACAACGGACGAGTTCACCAACGCGGACGTGCTGGACGAGACCTACCCCGCCGTGGCGGACTCCCTCCTCTCCGCCTACCATGCTCACCGGGAAAGTGCTGCTGGCAGTGCGGACGAGAGCAGCAGCAGGGCGTTCATTCCGGTGGTCACAGGCTTTCTGGGTCGGGTGAGTGGAGTAGAAAGAGGGTGGGACGTCCAGTATCGAATTACTGAAGGTGTGTGTGGGCATGCACGTGCAAGCATTGGGTGTGTAGTGGACCGTCTATAACCACTTAGTTGCAAGAACGTGGCTGGCAAACCCATATGGATAAGCGGTGCCTACGCAAGAGCGGCTCTCTGCTTGGTTGCACTGTGGTTGGGTTCATGTGATCAGCTTAACTAGGATCAACAGTATGTCGTACCTCCTCTCAACCATCTCCCCTCGCCCCTCGCCCCTCACCCCTGTTCCCTCCCTCAGGGCAAGAAGACGGGAGCGACGACGACGAGGTGACTTATGAGTCGACTCAAAAGTCCCCTCGCCCCTCGCCCCTCGCCCCTGTTCCCTCCCTCAGGGCAAGAAGACGGGAGCGACGACCACACTGGGCCGCGGAGGCAGCGACCTGACGGCGACCATCATAGGGCGAGCGCTGGGGCTGCAGGAGGTGCAGGTGTGGAAGGACGTGGACGGCGTGCTCACCTGCGACCCCAACCTGCACCGCGGCGCCGTGCCCGTGCCCTTCCTCACCTTTGAGGAAGCTTCCGAGCTGGCGTACTTCGGAGCGCAGGTGCTGCATCCGCAGAGCATGCGGCCGGCGCGAGAGGGGAATATCCCTGTGCGGGTGAAGAACTCGTATAATCGCAGTGCCCCGGGGACTTTGATAACTCAAGAGAGGGACCTGTCGTCGGCGCTGCTGACCAGTATTGTGGTGAAGCGTGGGGTTACCCTGCTGGATCTGGTCAGCCTGAGGATGCTCGGGCAGTTTGGGTTCCTCGCGAAAGTTTTTGCGATTTTCGAGGCGCAGGGGATTTCGGTGGATGTGGTGGCAACGAGTGAGGTGAGCTTGTCGCTGACGCTTGACCCGGCGAAGCTGTGGTCTCGAGAGCTGATTCAGCAGGAGCTGGATAAGATGGTGGAGGAGCTCGAGCAGGTGGCGGTGGTGAAGTTATTGCAGCGGCGGTCGATTATTAGTCTGATTGGGAACGTGTCGCGGTCGTCGGTTATTCTGGAGAAGGTGTTTGGCGTGTTCAGACGAAACGGGACCAACGTGCAGATGATCTCGCAGGGAGCTTCCAAGGTGAGAGAGAAGAGGAGCTTTTTTGAGTGTGTCAGGTGTTTCAGAGCAGAGTGCTCTAGAATTTAGTTTTGATCTAGGTGTTTGTTGAGTGATTGCTCATATGTGGCTCGTTTCACCTGCAGGTGAACATCGCTTTGGTAGTGGACGATGATGAAGCCACAGAGCTGGTGCAGCTGCTCCACAAGGAATTCTTCGGTGTCTAGAACTGCTGCAATGTGTGATAGCGCAGCACAAGCTGTGCAGGTAGTTTGGGGTGTAATGAAATTATGGCATTGTATCCTATGGGATGTTCAATAAGTATTTCTGTTGGATAACTTTGAAGATTCGTTTCAGCCTTCATAGAAATTAGCGTTAGAAAGTTTAGCTATAATTTAATGGAAGGATTTTTAATCGAGTTCAGGTATCCGCATTTTGACGGATGCGAAGTAGTGCCACGTAAGAGATTCATCTCGGGACCAGGTCAACATGTTCTCCTACAGAAAGTGTCGCTATGTGGCGTAGCTGACAGTACGAACGACAATGCCAGCGTGGAGGAATCTCCAAGGCATCTGGACACACTCGCCATTGGTCAATGTTGAGCCTTCACCACCAAGTTCCTTCATTACAGTCACCTGCCTTTCGTGATTCTTCATTGCAGCACATTCCAAGGGGGGGGAGTCCTTTCGACCTCGAGATCCTCGGATTGCTACAAGGTCGGTGCAGTAGCAGGAGCGGAAACAGCAGGGCGAGGTCAGTTGGAGATTCCAATTTCCACTCACCCAGTCTTGCCTTCCCTTTGCGCAATCTCACATTGGTGTATCCAGCCATTGCTTGCACGGTAGCACAGCGTTGTTGACGGAAGATTGCGTACCTTGGCGCATCGCGTGTTGCCAGCAATACTTTCGCGCTGTTAACAGCTTGTCCATACCTATTCTCCGACATGGCTGCCGTCTCCGCCGTCTCCGCGGTTTCTACCGTCTTTGCGGTGTCCGGCATCACTGACGTGGCAACGAATAATTCTGTCATGCGGGCCACCACATGCAACAGTCCCGCCTTTTCTTCACTAAGCAACAGTCATCGCGGGCAAAGAAGGTATGCAGAAACAGAGATGTTTAGGCTTACCGGTAGTTTATTCTCTTCTCTTCCTTTTCTCGCACGCGTGTCTTTTTTGTCAGACGAGCGTGTGCTTGTCCAATCGTGAACAACAGCGTTCGAATGGGCGAGATTCGTGCAGAATTCCACCTGATGCGCGAATTTCGCGCATTTGAGGCGAATTCGGATGCCATGATACAAGCGGATTTGTTTTCTGTACGCAGTGTAGCTTCGTATAGCGTGTATAACCTGCGTTGGAAATGAACAGGACATGCACGGTGACTCAAGTGGAGTACAGTTGTACAGCAGCGTCTCCCCTCTTCGTACTCCTCCAGTTCCGCATGTCCTCGTCTTTCCTCCCCCAATTCTATCACTTTTATTTCTGCGAAGTTTGTTGCTTCAATATCCACGTACCCTCCTCAAAATTCATGCCAGTGCTATTTGTACACCATTTTCAAACACATCGCATCCGCATCAGTCCTCACTCTCCACTTGTTTTTCCTCGCTCTCCCCAGCGCCATCCCCCCTGCTGATTGCCCAGCTCCTTCGGCCCTCTCCGCCTTTGCGCCTGTTGATCCACGATCTCTGCGGAAGGTGAGTGAGACGCATGGAATGTCGTGGTATGGCCTGTCGTGGCATGGCATGTCGTGGCATGGCATGTCGTGGCATGGCATGTCGTGGTATGGCACGTGGTGGTATGGTATGTGGTGGTATGGTATGTGGTGGTAGGGGATGTGGTGGTAGGGGATGTGGTGGTATGGTATGTGGTGGTATGGCATATAGTGGTATGGTATGTCGTGGTATGGCATGTCGTGACTTGACATGAATGTCAGGAACATGGTGGCATGGCATGACGTAACAGCATGGCACAGTATTAGCAGCAGTAGAGGGGTTGCTGATGAAGAGATGGGGCTGGTCACAGTGGCGGTGATAAATTATCAGAAGAGAGAGTGCGGTGATAAGTAAGAGTGCGGTGATACGTAAGAGTGCGAAGTAAGAGTGCGTTGTGGGAGATTGCGACCATGTTGGAAGAGCTTTCAAGATGGGAAGGAATAACAAGATTACGTTTCTACTCTGTATTGTTCCTGTCCCATCGTTCTGCTTTCTCCCTCCCTGCTTCTCCTACCAGGTCAGCCACACCTGAGTGGCCGCAGCAGGAACCGCAGCATAAGTGGATAGGGAACGGATGTCAACAGGTGGAAGGCAAAAGAGGATTTGAACATGAGGATAAAACTGAAACTTCTACTCTGTTTTTTTCCATCTCTCTGCCTTCTCCCGCGCTTCTCCCACCACCAGGCCAGCCACACCATAGTGACAGCAGCAGCAGCCACAGCAGAGACGGCAGCAGAGGAGGTGCCGGTGCTGTTGGTGGTGATATGATATACAACCACTCGGAGGCTAATGCGACCGCGTTGGAAGGCTTACTGCCTCTCGGGGGAATACCCCATAACTCCCATTCCTCATCGTTTCACTGCCTTCTCCCACCTTCTCCCGCCACCAGGCCAGCAACACAATAGTGACAGCAGCAGCAACCACAGCGGAGGCGCAGACAGAGGAGGTGCCGGTGCCGGTGGTGGTGATAGACAACCACTCGGAGGCCAATGCGACGGTGGTGCAGCTTGAATTTGGGGACCGGCTGGGCGCACTCATGGACACGGTGAGTTGGTGTGGTTTGGTGGGGTGGGGTGCGGTGTGGTGAGGTGGGGTCTGATGTGGTGTGGAGGAGGGAGAAGAGATGCCGGTGCCGGTGGTGGTGATAGACAACCACTCGGAGGCCAATGCGACCGTTGTGCAGCTAGAGTTTGGCGACCGGCTGGGCGCACTCATGGACACGGTGAGTTGGTGTGGTTTGGTGGAGTGTGGTGGGGTGGGGTGCGGTGCGGTGTGATGGGGTCTGATGTGGTGTGGAGGAGGGAGAAGAGATGCCGGTGCCGGAGGTGGTGATAGACAACCACTCGGAGGCCAATGCGACCGTTGTGCAGCTAGAGTTTGGTGACAGGCTGGGGGCTCTCATGGACACGGTGAGTGCAGGGGGGTGAGGGAAGGGGGGGGAAGTGTTTTCACGGTGGTTGGCTCATGGGCATGGTGGGTGCAGGGGTTGAGGGATGTGATGTGGTTTGGGGTAATGTGGTGTAGTGTGGTGTGGTGCGGTGTGGTGTGGTGTGGTGTGGTGTGGTGTGGTGTGGTGGGGTGTGGTGTGGTGTGGTGTCATGTGGTGTTGTGTCATTTCGTTTCGTGTCGTGTCGTGTCGTGTTGTGTTGTGTCGTGTCGTGTCGTGTCGTGTCGTGTCGTGTCGTGTCGTGTCGTGTCGTGTCGTGTCGTGTCGTGTTGTGACGTGACGTGACGTGACGTGACGTGACGTGACCTGACCTGACCTGACCTGACCTGACCTGACCTGACCTGACCTGACCTGACCCGACCCGACCCGACCCGACCCGACCTGACCTGACGTGACGTGATGTGACGTGACGTGACGTGACGTGACGTGACGTGATGTGACGTGATGTGATGTGAGGTCTCGTGATAAGAGATGTGACGTGATGTGACGTGATGTGACGTGATGTGGAGAGGTGAGAGGCGAGCAGTCAGAGGAGAGCATGTGGGGTGTCTGAAAAACGGGGACAGCCAGGCTGGGTGCACTCTTGGTGGCGCGGTGGGTGTGAGAGCGACACCTTGCAAGGGCCCTCCGCACTCAGTGCTTGAATCTGGTGAAGGGGCGGGTCACTCTCTAGTCAGATAACAAATTACTTTGCTCTCTGTGCGTTTACTGCACACCTCGCCTCTAACCTCGCCTCTCATCTCGCCTCTCACCTCGCCTCCCACCTCGCCTCCCACCTCGCCTCCCACCTCGCCCCTCACCCTGCTACCACCACCCGCCCTGGCAGATGGCAGTGCTGCGCAGTCTGGGGCTGAACGTGGTGAAGGGGCGCGTGACCACTGCAGGTATCTCAGGGCTCACCACTCTTCCCACCTTGCCTCCCAACCCCTCCCCTGCTCCCACCACTCCCCACCCCGCCCTACCAGATGGTGGCACTGCGCAGTCTGGGGCTGAACGTGGTGAAGGGACGCGTGACTTCCAAGTTCGCTCAGAGCTCGCCTCACCTCTCTCTGCCTTGCCTCCCCACTCCCTCATTGCCCTACCAGATGGCGGCACTGCGCAGTCTGGGGCTGAACGTGGTGAAGGGACGCGTGACTTCCAATTTCGCTCAGAGCTCGCCTCACCTCTCTCTGCCTTGCCTCCCCACTCCCTCATTGCCCTACCAGATGGCGGCACTGCGCAGTCTGGGGCTGAACGTGGTGAAGGGACGCGTGACCACCGCAGGCACCGTTGCTCGCAACACCTTCACCATCACACAGGAGTGAGTGCCGTTTGGGGGGAAGGGAAGAGGGAGAGGGGGGTGGGCAAGGACGGAAGAGTGAGAGGGGGGCGGGCAAGGACGGAAGAGTGAGAGGGGGGCGGGCAAGGACGGAAGAGTGAGAGGGGGGTGGGCAACGACGGAAGAGTGAGAGGGGGGCGGGCAAGGATGGAAGAGTGAGAGGGGGGTGGGCAAGGACGGAAGAGTGAGAGGGGGGTGGGCAAGGACGGAAGAGTGAGAGTGGGGTGGGCAAGGACGGAAGAGTGAGAGGGGGTTGGGCAAGGACGGAAGAGTGAGAGGGGGGTGGGCAAGGACGGAAGAGTGAGAGGGGGGTGGGCAAGCCTCCTTTCCCCCTCCCACCCTCTCTTCTTTTGAGATGTCTCAAATCCCTCCCTCTCTGCTCGATTCCTTCCCTGCACTTCTCCAGACGGCCATACCTTGCCTCATTCCGAAAATAACAAAACTGTCGAAAGAGATAATGTCATCCGTCCCACTTACTAAACCGTCCCCCATCCCCTGCCCTGCCATGCCACCCCACATACCCTCCATGGCACGAGATGACTGCTTATTCGAAAAAATAATATCATCACTTGCCCTGCCCTGCCCTACCCATCCCATCCCATCCCGTCACATCCCAACCCATCCCATCCTCTGCCCTGCGCTGCCACCCCATGCACCACGCACCACCTCCATTCACAGGGGAGGCAAGGTGGAGAGCGCTGAGATGATAGAAGCCATTCGAGGCACCATCATCGCCAACCTCCTCAAGTACCACCCCGTGAGTGCTACTCCTCAAGTACCACCCCGTGAGTGCTACTCCTCAAGTACCACCCCGTGAGTGCTACTCTTTAAGTACCACCCCGTGAGTGCTACTCCTCAAGTACCACCCCGTGAGTGCTGCTCCTGAAGTACCACCCCGTGAGTGCTGCTCCTCAAGTACCACCCCGTGAGTGCTGCTCCTCAAGTACCACCCCGTGAGTGCAATTCCTCATGTACCACCCCGTGAGTGCTGCTCCTCAAGTACCACCCCGTGACTGCTGCTCCTCAAGTACCACCCCGTTAGTGCTACTCCTCAAGTACCACCCCGTGAGTGCTGCTACTCAAGTACCACCCCGTGAGTGCTGCTCCTCAAGTACCACCCCGTGAGTGCTGCTCCTCAAGTACCACCCCGTGAGTGCTACTCCTCAAGTACCACCCCGTGAGTGCTGCTCCTCATGTACCACCCCGTGAGTGCTGCTCCTGATGTACCACCCCGTGAGTGCTGCTCCTCAAGTACCACCCCGTGAGTGCTACTCCTCAAGTACCACCCCGTGAGTGCTGCTCCTCAAGTACCACCCCGTGAGTGCTGCTCCTCAAGTACCACCCCGTGAGTGCTGCTCATCAAGTACCACCCCGTGAGTGCTGCTACTCAAGTACCACCCCGTGAGTGCTGCTCCTCAAGTACCACCCCGTGAGTGCTGCTCCTCAAGTACCACCCCGTGAGTGCTACTCCTCAAGTACCACCCCGTGAGTGCTGCTCCTCAAGTACCACCCCGTGAGTGCTGCTCCTCAAGTACCACCCCGTGAGTGCTACTCCTCAAGTACCACCCCGTGAGTGCTGCTACTCAAGTACCACCCCGTGAGTGCTCCTCCTCAAGTGCCACCCCGTGAGTGCTGCTCCTCAAGTACCACCCCGTGAGTGCTACTCCTCAAGTACCACCCCGTGAGTGCTACTCCTCAAGTACCACCCCGTGAGTGCTGCTCCTCAAGTACCACCCCGTGAGTGCTACTCCTCAAGTACCACCCCGTGAGTGCTGCTCCTCAAGTACCACCCCGTGAGTGCTACTCCTCAAGTACCACCCCGTGAGTGCTACTCCTCAAGTACCACCCCGTGAGTGCTGCTCCTCAAATACCACCCCGTGAGTGCTGCTCCTCAAGTACCACCCCGTGAGTGCTGCTCCTCAAGTACCACCCCGTGAGTGCTGCTCCTCAAGTACCACCCCGTGAGTGCTGCTCCTCAAGTACCACCCCGTGAGTGCTGCTCATCAAGTACCACCCCGTGAGTTCTACTCCTCAAGTACCACCCCGTGAGTGCTGCTCCTCAAGTACCACCCCGTGAGTGCTGCTCCTCAAGTACCACCCCGTGAGTGCTGCTCATCAAGTACCACCCCGTGAGTTCTACTCCTCAAGTACCACCCCGTGAGTGCTGCTCCTCAAGTACCACCCCGTGAGTGCTGCTCTCTGCACTTCTGACGCACTGTGTGGTTTGCATGCCTCCCTGTAGGAGCTACTCACCATGCCGTGAGAGCTACTCACACCCTGTGAGTGATCCTATGTGCATTGCTTGCCACCCGTGATTGTTGCTGCTTACATGCATCGCCTGCCACCCCGTGTTGTGTAGTATACTCCCTCGTGCTCTACCCTGCTTGTAGTGAGTCGATTTTTGAGTCGACTCATTACATGCATCGCCTGACACCCCGTGTTGTGTAGTATACTCCCTCGTGCTCTACCCTGCTCCCCCAACCCGTCCTCACTCAGGAATACAGCGTTCAGCTAGCCGTGGCCCTCACATGCGATTCACCTCCTTGCATCATCAAACCTCACCATCCTGCACCCCTCTCCTCTCCTTCCTCTTCCCCCTTCCCCCTTCCGCCTAACCCCTTCCCCCTTCCCCCTTCCGCGTTACCCCTTCCCCCTTCCCCCTTCCGCCTTACCCCTTCCCCCTTCCTCCTTCCGCCTTACCCCTTCCCCCTTCCGCCTTACCCCTTCCCCCTTCCTCCTTCCTCCTTACCCCTCCCCCCTTCCGCCTTACCCCTTTCCCCTTACCCCTTCCCCCTTCCTCCTTCCGCCTTACCCCTCCCTCCTTCCGCCTTACCCCTTCCCCCTTCCCCCTTCCGCCTTACCCCTCCCCCCTTCCCCCTTCCGCCTTACCCCTTCCCCCTTCCCTCCCTCACCTGCAGGAGTCAGGCACGCAGCTGGCCATGGGCCTCACATGCGACTCGCCTCCCTGCAATGTGAGAGAGGGGAGAGTGGCAGGGACTGGGGTGCGTGGTGCATGGGACACTGGTTGAGGGTTCGGGGAGAGGGTGGGGAACGTGAGGAGGTTGGGATTGCATCGAGGGTCGAGAGGCTTGGGTGGAGCACTGGTGTGGGCCCACTGTACTTGTTTACTCACCGCAGATGCATTGTACAGGACAGGTGTACTCACCCCACATGCATTGTACAGGGGTACTCACCCCACATGCATCATACAGGGGTACTCACCCCACATGCATCATACAGGGGTACTCACGCCACATGCATCATACAGGTGTACTCACCCCACATGCATCATACAGGTGTACTCACCCCACATGCATTGTACACGTGTCAAATCTCCATTAGCGACTGCACCAGCGGCATCGTGTGGGTTTGTGAGCTCTTTCAGCAACACGTGCTTCTGGATGGAACCTCCAAGCACGTGCGTGATAAGTCGATTTTTGAGTCGACTCAAAAACCAAGCACGTGCAATGCTGCACCACAGGTGCCTGCTCACTTACCTCACCCAGTTTTCTCCTCCACGTTGACTGCTGCTCCCTTCTCCCTGTTCTCCTTCAGCCTTCGCCCAGCCGTGCTTCCCCACGCTGCCACCCTGCTATGAGGCTTCTTCGGGCTTCTGAGTGCTCGCACATCGTCTCGGTTATTCCCGCTCACATCCCTCACAGGCGAGCGTGCCAACGCACACGCCACTCGTGCCCCTGACAGGGCAGCAAGCTGAGCGTGGAGGCAGCAAGCAGACCAGTGATTGATGCATGCATATTCTCCCCTCACGTGTGCTCCCATCCCTCACAGGCGAGCGTGTCAACGCACATGACGCTCACGCCCCTCTCGGACAGCAGCGGGAGTGAGGTGAGGGTGGGGGTGGCAGACCGGCAGTGAATACTTACATGAGCCCCCTTCACGTGTGCTGCCATCCCATCCCATCGCAACCCCCACAGTCGAGTGTGCCAACACGCATGGCCATCACAGCCCTCCCGGACAACACGGGCAGCGAGCTGAGGGTGGAGGCGGCGGACCGGCCGGGGCTGCTCATGGAGATCGTGGATGTGCTCACAGGGATGTCCATCAGCGTGACGTCAGCAGAGATCGACACCGAGGTGGGTGTGACGTCAGCAGAGATCGACACCGAGGTGGGTGTGACGTAAGTTTAGACGGGTGCTGAGGTGAATGGGGCATCGTGAGGGGGGGGGGGGGCGGAGGATGAGGGGCCTGCACACCCCTCCCCCAGCAGCATGTGATGGCGAATTATTCGCTCTCTGTTAGTGCTGCTGTGAATGACGGTGCATCCATGCCGTGCCCTGCATGCCTCTTTTCAGTATATGCATGCGTGCACCCGTGCACTCATGCCCGTGCCCCAGGGTGCTGCAGGGTTTTTTTGAGGATTCTCAGAAAAACCCTGCAGCAGAATGACGGTGCATCCGTGCGGTGCCGTGTATGCCTCTTTTCATGCACCTGATCACTCATGCCTGTGCCCCAGCACATGTTCTGATGACAGATGTGGTCCCTCTGCCACGCTTCCCACACTGCACTGTAATGACCACCACCCATGTTGTATGTATCTCCCTTCTATGCGCATGCAGGGAGTGGTGGCGAAGGATGAGTTGACAGTATTTCACATTTCACACAACATTTATCGTTTCCCATCCTCCATGTCTGTGCGGTCAGGGCATGGTGGCGAAGGATGTGTTCACGGTGTCGTACCATGGGGGGCCACTGGATGATGAGATGACCACGGTGAGATGAAACGAGCACGGTGAGATTAAACGAGTATGATGAGATGAATCGAGCTTGGTGAGGTGAAGCAAAAACGGTGAAATTAGAGGAGCACGGTGGGATGAAACGAGCATGCTGAGATGAAACGAGCGCGGTGAGATGAAATCAAGCACAGAAAGATGAAGCTAGCGCAGTGAGATGTAACGAGCATGGTGAGTTAAAAGGAACATGCTGAGATGAAACAACCACCATCGGGCCATTGTGCGCTCCAGCATCATCTTCGTTTAGCAAAGCTGTGGGTATGACTTGGAGGTATACGTTGTTCCTCACACTCCACTCACGCCACTCCTCTTTCTCCTTTCTCCTGCCTGACTCTTAGGGCTCTCAAGCGCAATCCCTCAGTTTCTGAGTCTCCTCCTTCAATCATCTCTCTTTTCTCCTCTAATCGGTGTCCCCCTCCTTCCTTTCTCTGTCATCCTGGCTGACAGCCCATGTCATCCACCTTTCTTAATACTTCTGAGAGTTGTTATAACTAACTCTCTGTTCAGTCACATACCTCTCTCTCCTCCTCCCCCTCCTCGACCCCCCCTCAGTCAACCCATTTGCTCTCATTTTCCATTCGCTTCTCTTTCGTCCCTTCTCAATCTCTCGCTCCCTCCCTCCTCTCCCCACCCCGTCCCAGCTCACACTCAACGCCCTCAACTACACTCTCTCCCGGCCAGACATCGAAGCAGAGGAAAGCTATTAGTGTCCTGAGGTGCCTTATAACGAGGCAGAGAACTAGCAGGGACCAGCAGCAGATCCCGGCACATAATAGACATGGGCATGTTCTTGCTGGTCTCGTTACGGACTGAATGTTCACCAACTTGGCTTTCCGCACTGCTGTACAGTCTCTATGTGTATCCATTAGTCAATATACCATGCTATGTTTCCTGTATGCCTTTCCAGCACAGCGCACGCATGTGGATGCCAAATATGATTATTGTCAGACGGTTGCTTTCAAGAGGCGCTAAGTAATATTATTCTCTTGACTGCACAGCTGCCATGGCTGACTGAAACTCAACAACCACATGCTTACACTCCACATGGTATGCGTGATTTGCTCTTGCACACAAGCCGTGTTTCAACCTTCACAAAATTGCCACAAATCAGAAAAATGCACACACGTTCCCTTCACAAGTTGACACAAAGAACCTGCAAATAATATTGATACATCCTCCGGTCCACAACATACTGTCTGGCTGCTACAAGCTTGGACGAAGCAGCACTACACTGATAGCCCCCATGCATCAGTGCATGTGCTGCTGCATCCAAGCTCCGGCAATGACAGCAAGCATGAAATCCCTAGGCTCTTGCATCGATGCCATTGCAACCCCTGCACCACTTGCAAATCTCTTGCACTGCCATCGATGAGGAGAGGAGCCGTGCTCAGGTCACGGCGACGACGCTGGATCGACGAAAATGCCATTCTGCGCGATGCCTACGATGCAGCAAATATTCCAAAGGAGAAGGAAACCCAGCTTTGCAGGAGAAATCTAGCTGCCCAGGAGCTTGGAAGTGAAGACCGGAAGCAGTTTCAGTAAGAGTCGGAATGCTTTGTCCTAACTTTAGGCTGAAGTGAAGTGAATCTAAATGAGGAAGACTGAGTAAATGAGTTGCTGAATGCCGCATGCATTCTTGTACCCTCGTCGCGTCGCCAACACAAGGCAATGCTTTTGCACGGCGCGATGACTCATACTGTAAGGAATGGACCAATGAACAATCAGAGGCCGCTGGTAAGTCAAACTCACGAATTTTCAGTCAACGTCTCGCAAAACATGTTGACCACTGTAGCTTTCTTCACCCCGCTTCAAGAAATTGGAAGAAACTGGAATCCCGTTTTCAATCTGATCCGATATGAGGAGTATTCGTCTCTGTGAGTAGCGCAAGCATCGATTTCCGAATCTGGTTATCAATTTCACATTTGCACCAGTCATTTTAGTCCTTCCACAATCGAGAATGAATCTCTAATCAGCAACCTCAGTCTCGTAGTGACAGCGACAATCTGCTGATGGTGAGCACACCCTAAGGGCGTCACTTACGGTGACGCGATCCGCGACTTGCCTTGCTCTACCAAGCTGACGTGGCAAAATGTCGAAGTCGCTCAGCGGCAGGGCAGGGGGGCTCAGAAACAAGGCGAGGACGCCGAGGACTTCCGACCGACCGAGAGAGCGAAATTCCATTTCGACGCCGTGCAGCGACTCCGCTGCCGCGTGCCCCGTCGCGTCATGCTTCAACAGTCGGGTTGTTGTGCTGACATGAAACTTTCCATTCCTCCTCCACCCATGCCGCTGCTGCGCGCCCCGTCGCGTCATGCTTCAACAGTACGTGGCAGAGAAGGGAGAGGAAAGAGGGGGGATGATGGTTTAGAGCGCTTGCGCAGTAAGCCTCAAATGATCTCCAATGTCTCTCGTCTTTGAAAATTCTCCAAAAAAGCTCTCTCGTCGCATCGAAGCGCACACCCCGAGGACATCCACGTGTGATAAGTCGAGTTTTGAGTCAAATGTGTGATTTACAAACAGATAAGTCACGCACGCCCCGAGGACATCCACCCTCCCATGTCGTGCCGCTGCCTTGCTCCTCGCTGCGACTCGCAGACATGCGACTCGCATTGCGTTCAGCCTCGTTTCTTAGCTAGGCGATGGCGGTAGAGGGACAACAGCGAGATCAGCGCTCCGACACGCTTGCAGCTCCGCCATCCGCAGCTCCGCCACGTGCATATCTCCGCCACGCGAGCTTGTCAGCTTGCTGTCACCTGTGCCCCGAGATTGCCACCATGCTTGCCGTGCATGTCGCAGTATATCCCCTACCCCCAGGCTCCCACCCCCCCTCCCCCTGCGCCCCTCCCCCTGCGCCCCTCCCCCTGCGCCCCTCCCCCTGCGCCTCTCCCCCTGCGTCCCCCTGCCCTGCACTAACCCTCCCTGCGCTCGCTCTCTCTCGCTCTTAGTGTCACCCCATACCTCCGCGTCTCATATCGTCCGCATCTCCCATTTCCGCAGCCGTCCCAGCCTCCCTAACCGGTCTGATCGGATCCGACGCCCGAACTGCTCAAACCTCCGCCATGCCAAGCCCCCAACCATCCTACACGACCTAACCATCTCCCACCTGCTAATCTATCAAAATCACCTCCCACTCGCCGCTCCAGCCTTCGTAATCGGCCCAACCCCCGAGCCACAGCTTGTCTGTTGAACCCTAGCCACCCTTACTGACCTAACCACTTCCCACATCCCCAGTCGCCCCAGCCAGCCTTCCCAAGTTCAGCTGCGCCATACTACCCATCCCTGGCAAGCGATGTGACACACAGATTTTGAACTACCAAGGCCATGGCGGCCTTGTCATTGTCATTCTCAAGAATCGCTCACAAGGACTACCGATCCCTGGCGGGCCATGTGACACGCGGCAGTAAACCCTCGCGCGGGGAGCGGAGCTGCTGCTCCCGTTGAGGCATGGTGGTTGGCCTCACAGCAAAGCCGTTGAGGCATGGTGGTTGGCCTCACAGCAAAGCCGTTGAGGCATGGTGGTTGGCCTCACAGCAAAGCCGTTGAGGCATGGTGGTTGGCCTCACAGCAAAGCCGTTGAGGCATGGTGGTTGGCCTCACAGCAAAGCCGTTGAGGCATGGTGGTTGGCCTCACAGCAAAGCCGTTGAGGCATGGTGGTTGGCCTCACAGCAAAGCCGTTGAGGCATGGTGGTTGGCCTCACAGCAAAGCCGTCAGTCACCCGCTGCCAGGTATGTGCCTGCTTTTCGCCCCACTGTGGTAGTTAATACTGCAATCATGAGTCATGTCGACCGTGACTGTGCATGCTGTGCTCTGTCAGTTCACTCACGTTAGGATCCGGGGAAAGGGTTTTTGGGTCGACTAAAAAATCGCTTCATGAGTCATGTCGACCGTTGCTGTGCATGCTCTGTTAGTTCGCTCACGTTAGGGCCTGGGGAGAGGTTCCGGCAAGGCGCTGCTGCTGTGGACCGTGACTGTGCAGTCTCGGTCAGTTGGCTCAGTTGGGTTCTCATCAATCTCACTGTGCTATGAGAATGATGAGGCGGAGTAGGCCTGGGCATGGCGCTACTGCTGGCCATGCAGTGGCTGTGAGCTAGGCTACCACTCAAGAGTACCGCTCACCTCACTTCACCAATTGTCCCCTTCTCTCACCCCTTCCAACACCTTTCCTTCCACCTTCGCTCGCCATGTTGCCTGTTGCAGCTTCCAGGTGCCATCGGTGCAGCAGCCTGCTCGCGGACCATCAACTGCTAGAGTTGAGTTTTGAGTCGACTCAAAAGTCCATCGATGCAGCAGCGTGCCCACGAACCATCAACTGCCAGGCGACCGAATCTCTTGCGAGCATCAATTGCAAGTGAACAGACAGTTCTTTGGTGCATCCACTACCATGCCCACACTCACTGAGGTTCAGTCATGCACACACAGCTCATGGACTTGGTTCATGAGTGAATTTGCTTGTCACTCTTGTGCATGCATGCACGCAAGCTGTTCACTCTCATGCGCGCACTCACTCTCATGCGCGCACACTCACTCTCATGCGCGCACACTCACTCTCATGCACGTACACTCACTCTCATGCGCGCACACTCACTCTCATGTGCGCACACTCACTCTCATGCGTGCACATTTCATGCCGGCAGGTGAGTGACAGCTAACCAGCATCAAGGTGTGTGTGTTGCTGAGTTAGGTAGTGTCGGTTTGGGTCCTGTCCTGAGCTGAAGGGGGGTGTGGTGCGAGGGGCGTGGTGAAGGGGGCGTGGTGAAGGGGGCGTGGTGAGGGGGGCGTGGTGAGGGGGGCATGACGCTTGTCTGTGCATGCCGCTTGTCTGTGCATGCCGCTTGTCTGTGCATGTTGCTTGTCTGTGCATGCCGCTTGTCAGTGCATGTTGCTTGTCTGTGCATGCCGCTTGTCTGTGCATGCCACTTGTCTGTGCATGCCACTTGTCTGTGCATGCCACTTGTCTGTGCATGCCACTTGTCTGTGCATGCCACTTGTCTGTACATGCCACTTGTCTGTGCATACATGCATGCATGGTCCTGGTAACACGCTTCCCATGCTGCAGCACAATCACCATCTCCCATTTCCCGTCTCTCACTGCCCATGGCCCATCGTCCATCTGTGTGCATGCAGGGGTGGTGACGAAGGGTGTGTTCATTGACTTGTATGACTCTTCACATCCCCCACAATTTTCACGGTGTCGAACTATAAAGGGCCACTGGATGATGACATGTCCACGGTGAGATGAAACGAGCACAATGAGTTGAAATGAGCATGGTGAGATGAAACGACCATGTTGAGATGAAACAACCTTGATGAGATGAAACAAATGCGGTGAGATGAAACAACCACCAGCACGCACCCATGCCATAATCCATTTAATCATTACGTTGCTCTCTTTATCATTCCGCTACCTTCTCTTTTGTTTTCTTCTCTCCCCGACTCCTCTCCTTGCCCCTCCCAGCTCACACTCAACTCCCTCAACTACACTCTCTCACGGCCAGACATTGAGACAGAAGAAAGCTACTAGTGTTTTGAGGCACCCTATAACGAAACGAGTCCAAGAGCTTCCAGTGTCTGAAGGCACCTTATATTGACGAGTTACTGGTACAAGGTACCAGAGGCAGCCCCAAGCTCATGCTTTTCTGTGATTAGAACTAAATGATATCGGCCCATTTTACAGTTGAGTCACAGCATTGAGAATGATTCTTTGG